GGGTGCATGCTTTCATGCTGTTTCCGCCAAATTCTCACTCTGCCATCTGCGTGATGCAACTGGAAACGTGATTCATCGGACCACATGACTTTTTTCCAATGCTCAACTGTGCAATCCTTGTGTTCCTGTGCAAATTGGAGACGTTTTATCTTGGTAACTGCAGACAGCAAAGGTGTTCGAACAGGCCTTCGGCTTCCATATCCCATACAAATGCAGTGTATGGCTATTTTGCCTACAAATGTCAGGTGGTCATAATAATCTGGACACTCAGGGTATATGGGTTGCCTTCTGTATGTGGCCTGATCAGGGATCAAACCCACAAACTTTTGGTGCACAGAATGACACTCAACCAACTGAGCCACTCTGGCCAGGCCTCAACCTTGATTTTATCCAGGATTCAAAGTGATATTGCTCATGTCCTTGCTGTGTAACTTTCACCATGGTAAGTTCTTCTGGAGTTATTATTTAAGGTGCAGCCTCTGCAGTTAAGGAGCATATCAATGTAAGAACAGAAAATATTGGCTAATTACTAAATATTTCAATGATGATGATCTAGTACACAATAACTAAGGATTAATTAAATGCCCTCTGTATGAATGAAATAGATGATATAACTTCTCAATAATGGTCAGTTACCAAAGACCTTCCTTTGTGTACATTCTTATCACCTTTCTTTTTTCTTTTCAACCTCTCTCATTGGTGAAAGAAAGTCTTTACTGTAACAACAGACAGTTGATAATTTATTTAGTGTTAGTTCTCATATTTTCCTGTTTTGTCTTTCATTGCCCAACTATCTTTTTCTACTTTCCTCCTTCCCTCCATCTCTCTTTCCTTCTGGCATCCTTCTATTTCCCTTCCTTCCTTTTCTCTGTTACTCTTTGAACCATCCCTCTATACCTTCTACTTTAATTAGTTATGGACTAGAAGCACATAGCTTTAAGTGTTTGTTGCATTCATTGAATCAAGTGTTGAATTTCCTGGTTTTAAATTAGAACATAGGTGACTTTAATGTTTAATAAGACTTTAAGCAAAAGTACTCTTAATCTTGCGTATTTACTGATTTCATAAAATTTGAGATATACTGATTGAGAGGTTGATTTGAGAGCGGTGAGGGGCTTTTGACAAATCAGTGTTTTCCAGTCCTTGGTCTAAGCTCTGTTCAATAATTTTTAACGCTTTCAAATGACTTTGAATACCATCACAGAGTCCAGCTGCTCATTCTTAGAAATTGAAATTTACACATGGTGCACTTTTTCAGAGAAATTCTGACATTTTTATAACATCTGAGCACAACACAATTGAGATATAAAATAAGTCTGTTAGTCACTAAATATTCATTTGTATCATAGAAATATTGGGAAATGCATTCATTGTCCTTTTCCCCAGAATGAAAAGTAAGTAACACTTAAAACACATTCTAGATCACATCGTCAAGTATATTGGTCTATGATATTATATAATTTAAGTAAAAAATTTAATACTAAGTAATACTATAATAAAAGTAATTATATTCGCTGAGTGAACTGCCAATATTTTACTGTTATTAAGAATATCTCAAGCATTCATTGACTGCATTCATTTATCTTAATTTTTAAATCTTCTTTTACTAAATGAACAGATTAAAACTACAAATTATGTAGTTAAACACTAAGACAGGGCTTCGTGCATTTAACTTCTAAGGTAAAGATTAGAAGTCTTAGATTTACCTTAATACGAACTTCCCCAGCCTTTGGAGGCTCCACCTGAACTTCCTCAATTGCAAGAGGAGAATTTGTTTTCCAGGCAATGGCTGCCCGGCATGTAATTGTCTGTTGACACAGGACAATAAAAGGACATCATTAGCAATAACATTTAGCTTTTATTCTGATCACACAAATGGCACTAACGTGTTAAAATTTGTAAAAATAATAAAGACACAGGAAAGAGATCATTGCAATTTCAGGATCAAGCTGTTGAAATTTTAGCATATATCCTTGTAGTCTCTTATAGTATTTTTATGTAGTTGAGATCATGTCATATAAGCATTTTTTATTCTGCTTTATTGCTAATAACAGCCATCAGGTATTGAACATTTACCCTTTACTTGTTCATAAGCATTTTCTCATCACTTTAAATGCTTTGAAATCATAATTGTAAGTGGCTACTTTTATTTCATCATTTGAATGTGTCCTAATTTGCTTAATCAGTAATTGCCAAGACAGGTAGTTATTTACATTGTTTTGAGTATCATAAAGAATATTGTGAACAACTTTGTTTATAATTTTGACTTGCTGGACTTTCTTTCTTTTTTAAAATATATTTTTATTGATTTCAGAGAGGAAGGGAGAAGGGAGAGAGAGATAGAAACATCAACGATGAGAGAGAATCATTGATCCGCTGCCTCCTGCACACCCCTTACTGGAGATCGAGCCCGCAACCCAGGCATGTGCCCTTGACTGGAATCGAACCTGGGACCTTTCAGTCCGCAGGCTGACACTCTATTCACTGAGACAAACCAGCTAGGACTTGCCTGACTTTCTTAAGTAAGAATTACTTTGGAAAGGATAGAGAAATTGTTAGGACTAAATTGATTTCCAAATCTCTTTACAGGAAGGTTGAGATATATGGCACCATTTATAGAAATATAAAAGAATATCTATATCATCATTGATTTCACTCTCCTTAGCATTGACTATAAGTCATTAAAAATATAATATTAGACAGGCAGAAAGAGCTAGTTATTTCATTTAATTAGTGTATTTTGAATGTTAGTGATGTTCAATGTTCTTTATATTAATTGCACATATTATTCTCTATTGTGGAGTGTTTAGTCATATAATTTACGTAAGTATCTACTGACATCTTGCTGTGTGTTTTTTTAAAATCATTTGACCTCATTAAAGCAGTCACCTGTTGTTTGTCAACTTGTCACTTTATTTTCCCCTGCTGATTTCTGACCTGTAATTTTTTATGAAGGTATATGCATGCACACACATAATCACACATTTTTAAATTTCGGTTTATAAAAGTATCTTTTTCTTTGTGTGTTTTTTATTCCATCTCTATATTTTGAAAATTCTTAGAGGCCAAATAAATATTTCTTACTTTTTTCTAGATTTTTATAGTTTGATTTTAAAATATTTCTTTTAAATTCAACTGAAAATTATTTCATTGTGTGAAGTTATGGAACCTAAATGAATTGTCCCAGGATGAACTCTTGTTTCTTTTGTTTCTGCTTAAATTAGAGGAAAAAAAGGGGGACATCTGTAATACTTTCAACAATATAAATAAATAAAAAATAAAAAACTCAGATGATTTTAAACCAAAGATAGCTCAGCAACAACAAAAGAAACATGAAACTACACCATTTTTAACAGTGTAAGTTAAATACATCCCTCCCATGATGGAGACCAAAGAGAAATATTAATGTGTATCAGTAGATATTACAGTTACAAATACAATATATAAAAAATTAGTAACTTTACTATATGTGTTTACATTTACAAGTTTCTTTTTGGAAACTGCTTTTTTTTCTTTTTAATATATTTTATTGATTTTTTACAGAGAGGAAGGGAGAGAGATAGAGAGTTAGAAACATCGATGAGAGAGAAACATCGATCAGCAGGCTGACGCTCTATCCACTGAGCCAAACCGGTTTCAGCAGGAAACTGCTTCTATTCTGTTTATCTTTCTCTCTATTCTTACACCAGCACCTCAATTCTTTAAATACTTAAACTTTTTGATGCATCTTAATACCAAACACTAGTACCCTTCATAATTTCATGTATACTCTATTTGTAAGTTTACTACCCTACTAATTGTAACATATACTGAACTGGATAAATCTGTTATGTCTTTAGGAATTTAGATACTAAAGAAGAGATAATAAATGCCTTATAATACAGAGAAAAGGGACAAATGTCACAAAAAATTTTAAAGAAGATGTTATGGAAAATATTACTTTTTTTCTGGGGATAGAATTATTCTGCTTTCACTTATCAAACTCAAGTGAGACTATAGACTTTATGAAAAAACTTTCCTAATTTCAAAAATGATACACACTCAAGGAAAAACAACTAGAAAATACTTCCAATCAAGGTAGCAGAGTAGGTAAATGCTGGCTCACCTCCTCCCAAGGTCACATCAAAACTACAACTGAATTCTAGAACAGCCACTCTTGAGAACCACTGGATTAGTTGGACAGAACACCTATAACTAAGGCTATAAAGTTGAGACTTTGGGACGGGCAGGGATGTGACATGGTGCTGGTCCCAACCCACCGTTAAGAATAGGGACGATATCTTGACTGCAGAGGACTGCCCTCCACCTCCAACGTACACACCTAAAAAGTGTAGACCTTGAGAAAAAAAGATGCCTACAACAAGGGCTAACTAGGCTCAAATTAAAACTAACAAAACAAAACAGAGCCCAGCAGTCATTTCTACAATGATCTAGTCTTAATAAATTGCAAATTTAGCCTCATGCAAACTGCACTTCAGAAAGAAGCTTGCTCTGAACTGCCTGCCTCTGCACTGAACTGCCTGCCTGCACTGTGTTTCTGCCATCTGAACCAGCCCTTATAAAAGAGTTCCTGGAATCCTATCTCAACCAATAGGACTAAAGCTTCCTCTATCCAATCAGAGCTGTGCAGCTATATCCCCCTTCAGTTTTTTCACTGACTAATTAGAGTGGCTCCATTTTGACCAATCACTACAGTGTCTTTTGGACCAATCAAACTTCAAGAATTGGGAGTCCTCTAAAGCAAATATTGGAACTGATATAATATTGAATGTCAATCATAATTGAAAAATTAAATTTAAAATAATTGGAAAACTCAGACAAGGGTAAAGAGGGGAAATAAATAAATAAAAAATAAAAAACTCAGATGATTTTAAACCAAAGATAGCTCAGCAACAACAAAAGAAACATGAAACTACACCATTTTTAACAGTGTAAGTTAAATACATCCCTCCCATGATGGAGACCAAAGAGAAATATTAATGTGTATCAGTAGATATTACAGTTACAAATACAATATATAAAAAATTAGTAACTTTACTATATGTGTTTACATTTACAAGTTTCTTTTTGGAAACTGCTTTTTTTTCTTTTTAATATATTTTATTGATTTTTTACAGAGAGGAAGGGAGAGAGATAGAGAGTTAGAAACATCGATGAGAGAGAAACATCGATCAGCAGGCTGACGCTCTATCCACTGAGCCAAACCGGTTTCAGCAGGAAACTGCTTCTATTCTGTTTATCTTTCTCTCTATTCTTACACCAGCACCTCAATTCTTTAAATACTTAAACTTTTTGATGCATCTTAATACCAAACACTAGTACCCTTCATAATTTCATGTATACTCTATTTGTAAGTTTACTACCCTACTAATTGTAACATATACTGAACTGGATAAATCTGTTATGTCTTTAGGAATTTAGATACTAAAGAAGAGATAATAAATGCCTTATAATACAGAGAAAAGGGACAAATGTCACAAAAAATTTTAAAGAAGATGTTATGGAAAATATTACTTTTTTTCTGGGGATAGAATTATTCTGCTTTCACTTATCAAACTCAAGTGAGACTATAGACTTTATGAAAAAACTTTCCTAATTTCAAAAATGATACACACTCAAGGAAAAACAACTAGAAAATACTTCCAATCAAGGTAGCAGAGTAGGTAAATGCTGGCTCACCTCCTCCCAAGGTCACATCAAAACTACAACTGAATTCTAGAACAGCCACTCTTGAGAACCACTGGATTAGTTGGACAGAACACCTATAACTAAGGCTATAAAGTTGAGACTTTGGGACGGGCAGGGATGTGACATGGTGCTGGTCCCAACCCACCGTTAAGAATAGGGACGATATCTTGACTGCAGAGGACTGCCCTCCACCTCCAACGTACACACCTAAAAAGTGTAGACCTTGAGAAAAAAAGATGCCTACAACAAGGGCTAACTAGGCTCAAATTAAAACTAACAAAACAAAACAGAGCCCAGCAGTCATTTCTACAATGATCTAGTCTTAATAAATTGCAAATTTAGCCTCATGCAAACTGCACTTCAGAAAGAAGCTTGCTCTGAACTGCCTGCCTCTGCACTGAACTGCCTGCCTGCACT